ATATTCAGTTAATTTTGTATAATTCTTTTTTTTTGTCCGTGTAAGTGTAAATATTATATAGACATGTTGTGTATGTAATTTACCTCAGTACATTGTTTTTGTGTACATGTATTATATAAATGGAACCTGAAGTAATATAAATAATGATAGAATAATTATTATAGCAGTGAAAATGAAAAATATTTTTACATTTTAGTGATTTCAGTGATTAAATAATTTCACATTATATGAAAATGGATGTTACTGGAGATTTAACACTACAATGGGTGGAAGAGGTGGGAAATGTGATTCACGAAGAAGTGATATATGGTTTGGAGGCACAGCTGGTTGGAGCAGAAGAAGAAGTGATAGGAGCTTGCGAAGAAGTTGCAGTTGAAGAAACAGTAGAATCTGTTCCAAATGTTGCTCCTTCAACAGAATCAGAGATATTAATGGTACCACAGACCAATGATATGGAATCTATTTACATAGTTCCACAAGATCAAGGTCATGACTATTTGAATATACAAGTTACAGAAGAAGTAATTGCAGATAGTTGGGATAGATCTGGTCCAGAAGATGGGTAAGCTTAAATAAAATATGTTCCTAATTAAATGTAGTAATTTCAATAATTAATTGATTTTATATTTTGAAGGGTTGAGATATCAGAAACAAAAGTATCTCATGAAAATTTGCTTGAATATGATGACATGGAAATACCATTACCAATAGATCTTGATTCTTATACAAATAGTAGACCTTATCCATGTGACTTTTGTAGCAGAAGGTTTAGGAAAAAAGCAAATTTAATGAATCACATGGTGTCACATCAGACAGATCGTCCTCATGGTTGTAACTTATGTGGAGCACGTTATGCAAGGAAATGTGATCTTATGAATCATTTGAAAATTCATGCATATGCACCATCTCGGGATGGTCTAGAGGATGATTTAAATGATGATGATTCATTGGCACCAGAGGAAGAAGAGTCTACTAAAGGTAGGCGTAAAAAGGTACAGTCAAGTGTACCAAGAAAGCGTAAAAACAATTCTATTATTCCAAAACGAAGTATGGAGGATAATAAAATGGAAATGGGCAAGTACGTCAATAAATCTTATGATTACGTTGACGAGGATATGCGTCTTTTGGAAGAAATGACTAGTCGAAATTCTGCACGCAGTGGTAATTATGCATCGAGTTCAAGGTGGAATGACCAAATGTCACCTGTATCAACTGAACCTCAAGCACCACGATGGCCTATAACTGATCCAACAAAACCATATGTGTGTCAGTACTGTGGTGTTGGTTTTGCCAGGGAAAAGGCACTTGCATCTCATGCACGCATACATGGTGGTGATAGTCCATTTGAATGTACATCATGTGGTGATATGTTTTGGGATGTTAACAGTTTAAGAGAACATGTTCGTATTAAACATGGTGGTACAATACAATCTGATACAGAGGAATATGATAATGATGCTACATACACAGGTGATGAGAGATTTGGAGAATTCTATTGCAATACTTGTGGTGTTCCTTTTCATCGTTTGGATTTACTTAAACGTCATCAAAAGTAAGATTACTTTCTGATAATAGATAAGATATTCTTATTTATTAAAGTTAAGATTTGCAGGAAAATTATTAACAATGTGATATTAATTTTAACGTTGGTTATACTAGAATTCATGTCAAACAAGAATCTGATATGGTGGAAGGTCCGAGTCAACATCATGTTTGCAATGTTTGTGGGGAATGGTTTGAAGAGGCTTTGGCATTATTAGCACATGCCGAACTTCATGCTAGGTATTATTTACCAAAAAGTTTTAAAAAATTTAGCGGTAAATAAGTACAATAGTAGTGGTAATATTTAAAAAATTGTAAAATTCAGATAAGAATGTGCTTAAAACATTAATAAAAATACTGTTGGATCTGTTTAGATCACCTAGTCGTCGATGTTTATTATGTGGCGAAAGATGTCGTGACGATGCTGAAGTTGCGGAACATGTTCGGCAGAATCATGCCGATGATGCTCCACCAAACACATGCACCCTTTGTGGAAAAACATGTAAAGATAAACGTAGTTTGTTAAAACATTCATGGGTTCACAATGTTGATAAAACTTTCGGATGTACAAAGTGTGGAAAGCGTTTTCACAGCAAAGCTAGATTACGGAGGTATTTACTATAATTTGTTTTATATATTTAGTAAATTAGTTTCTTACTCATTACGTAATTGTGCTTTAGGCATATGGTATCACATCGCAATAAGATGGTAGCCTGTGATGAGTGTGGAGAAGAGTTTCCTGATGGTAGAGCTCTCGTTAGCCATCGTTATTCACATAATAAAGATTTACGTGGTCGTTCTTTCCCATGCCGAGAATGTGGAAAAACATTTGGAAGTCGCAGTTCACAGCAAATCCATATTCGTATTCATACTGGAGAAAGACCATATGGCTGTAGATTTTGTTGGAAAGCATTTGCTGATGGTGGTACTTTGAGAAAACATGAACGTATTCATACAGGCGAGAAGCCGTATGGATGCGCAATTTGTCCGCGTGCTTTCAATCAAAGAGTAAAGTATTTTAATTATAATTTACTGTTTCACTTGAATACATTGCAATTTTAATGCTCATTTTTTTTTCTTCTATTATTTTAGGTTGTTCTCAGGGAACATGTACGTGCTCATCATTCAGGTCCTGATCCAAAATGTGTAGGTAGCATTACTCCATACTTATGTAAAGTATGCGGTGATGCATATGGAACGTCAGAAGAAATAGTTGCTCATATCGTACAACATTGTGACGATAATACTGCATTAAGACGTCAACCACAAACTGGACCGCGTAAATATAAAAGAAGACGTAAATTGAAATCTCATGAAACTAACACGATGTTGCGTATGAGTGAGCAATATGATATGATGGAAGGTGGTACTGATTCAGATGACAATACAAAAAGAAAACTTGGAAGAAAAAATAAGCAACATCGATCGAACGTTGAGGAAGGTTATCAAAATGTTCTTAAAAGTTTCGAGAGCTCTTTACAAAATATAAATTCGATCGTTAGTAATTCAAAGTTAAATCCAGGAAAATCCAAGCTCTCTAAGAAGAAGCTTAGAAAAGAAGAAAAAAAGAATGAAGCTCAAGCTTCGTGTCAACCTGGTAGACCAAAAATGATTCATACCCAAAAAACAAGAGTGCCTGTAGAAATTGGTAGTGATGGAGTTAAAAAGGGACAAAAGACTAAAACTATGGTAACAAGGACTCCTAAAATGATGCCACAAGAACATAAAATAGGCGTCTTTCCGGGTGGGGAAAGAAATAGACCAAGAACAAAGAATGTTAGTTATCATATTGAGGGGAAGCTTCAACCGGCACCCGCAACATTCCCGAAACCAAAGGAAGAACCTCCAAGTACTCCGACATCAATACACCAACCATTGCCATTAACTAGTATAAAAATAGAGCCTAATTTGCAAAATACACAGAATAATAATCATAGAAATAATAATGGTAATATTCTTGGCATTAATAATGAAAAGATAGAATTAACACCTAGAAAAAAATCAGGTGTCTTAAAAAAGATTAAAAAGCAAAGAGATGGAATTAAACAAGAACCAATGGATATCGATCAAGATGAGATGCAAAACAATAACAATACAGAAAATCCAGATTCAGATAGACTAATGGATCATACAGTAGATGGAAGTAATTTAGAAGTTGCATTCGAAGCAAGTGTTACAACTGAAGAAGAAATTATTCTTCCTCACGTTGACGAAATAAATAATACCGAAGATATGGGAACTGGAAATGTAAAACTTAGTGTAAAAGTTGAATCGACACCTGAACGAATGTTGGCTGTTCATGGTGTTATAACACCTGTGGATGATATTCCAGAAACCATAATACCAGATGCTGTAGAATATACGTGCGAAATGTGTTCCGCAGTATTTTCCAGCCGAGCAGAATTGTTGGTCCATGTTCCAATACACATTTGATTTAATTTGTTCAATGAAATTAAAGGAGGTATGCAAATTTGTTCAATTTTAAGAATATTTGTTTAAATGATATTTTAACATGGTCAATGAAGGTTTATCTGTTTATTTGAATTGGCATTACGTTACTATGCCAAAATGTCCTCTACTCGTTGCTCTATGAAGTGTATCAGATTTTTGTGTTTATCGTATATTTTAAAAGTTGATGCTGTCTTTAGTTTATTGCGTCATTCTAAGGTATGTAGAAACTTTCAAATGTACTCGTTTTCAATTAACATTATCATTATATCCTTTTTATACAACTCGTGTTTCTCTCAAACTAAAAAAATACTATTTGGCTCAAAATTCATATTGAATCATGATACAATGAGTAATCTTACAAATATTTTATACGTTTACAATTTATGAAGCCAGTTACTCTGGTCAAAGAATTGAAATCTTAGACCATTCTTTTGCCATCCACAATTTTATAAATAAATTTTAAACGAAAAAAGAAATAATAGCACATTGTGTACATAAAATGCTAAGGTATTCTAAATATTAATGCGAGTGTGTTTTATAATATTACTCGTTTATATAAATTAAATTTACTCTGTACATTTGCTTTTAGCTCCTAAGTAATTAGATATGTGACAACCAATACATTAAAGTACTATGGTAGACAATTTGTGTGCAATATTATCATCTGATGATCCCAAGTTGTTGTTCATAACTTTTTTACTCACGGTAATATTTAGAAATCAGCATAGAATAATTGGAAAATTACGGATTAACGATTTGATTTACATTTGAGGGAAAAAAATTGAATTTTCTAAAAGCAGTTAGAAATGCGTCAACTATCTTAACTCTAATATTGTAATAATACACATGCACACTTTGCATAGAAACATTTGTACAAATTAATTTTTGTATTCCGGAACATTTTGTGATTCAAGGAACACGAATTCATTGTTACTGTTTCAATAGTATTCATTATATAATAAAATATACTTACTATTATGGTATACTTTGTTTATACTAACATATCGAAATGGTTCTAAGGAAATAATTGAACCATTTTATTACATTTGGCATTATATATGATGGATTGTACGAAAAACGTGTAGAATTTTATAAAAAAGAAAGTATTGATACCTAAATATCATGAACTTTGAAATTATTTTACTTTAAGCATTAGTAAATTATGCACAATCAGATCTGACTTGTAACTATGATTAAAAAAAAAAAAGGTTCTTCACATTGTATCATATTTCTATATTTATGTTACATGTTGAAGGTACATATTTCATAGTAAGATGTTCATCAATTTTATTAATACACATATTACTGATGGGTGCTATCATAGTATTACATCAAATAATACCACAGGGAAAAAAGCAGAATTATATTTTGTTTTGGTTCATATAAATTCATATATTACCACAAAAGTTTAGTCTTACATATTAAGAATTTATGTTTGGGAATTGGAAAATTTAAATAGTGTACATAATTTGATATAAATATTTTAGGTGTATTGATAAGTAATTTTTGCATCTTTGTTTCACACAAATAAATAATTTTACACAGATACTAAAGTTTTCCTCCTAATTGTAATTTAAAAGATTTGATCATGTTATTTGTTTCATATAAAAATTGTATCAGTTTTTAAATTTCTCATATTGCTTTAACTATTCATTTACATATTCTAAATACGATGTTTATCAATGAAAGTGTTACAAGAAACATATTTCATAAAAAAAAGTTTGAGTAAATTAGACTTAAATTTATTTTACATAAAATGTTGCTGTTTGATAAATTAAGTTTTTAAAATGTATTAGTTCTTTTACTATGTAAAAGATTTATTATGCCACTTATTACTATTTAATGATATGTTAAATAGTAACAAAAAAAGTTATTTAAAGTTTCAAACTGTTTAAAATTTACAAGATCGTATAATTAAATATTATCATTTTTAAACTTAAACATACATGTATTTTCTTGAACAAAGTAATGCATATATGTTTATTACATTTAATGCAGCAAAGTACTGTAGTACCTTTGTAGTATCT